TCGTCAAAGGATGGTGGAATGGACCGGCTACAATTCGAAAAATCCTTCATTTGGGATTTGTGCCACAATCAAAATGATCATTAAGTTCAATATTTGGAGCCTTTCATAGATAAATATATGTTCCGCTGTTGAATACACATGTGAGCCTTCTCTAGCCCAGGGATTTAAGCTGTTAAAAATACAGTTCGTCGTAATATTTTGTGAGTAATGGGGTTCAGGTATACATCTGTAGTGCTTGTTGACTCAGCAGTGAAGAAAAAAGCAAAAGAAGTTGACTTGTTGCCCAGGCCCTTAGAGCCTCTCTTTTGCGGTCGCTCATAAGCAGTGTGGTACTATGCAGCGAAGAAACAGTGAGCGCGTGAGCGATAGACTAGGTCACGAAAAGCGAAACAGTACAGTAGATAGCGCTGGTCTCCGTGCAGCTGCTGCAGTGGGCACTTTCGAGGTAGACCATGTACATACATCACAAGCGACAAGGTACAGACTCTGCGGTTACAGACGTGGCAAGACGTCTTAGTTCGACTTACCAGGGGAGAGTCTAATCATCAGGCGATAATTACAGCTTCGCTGTGTCAGATAGGTTTCTTCCGCGATCCCCCTCTAGCTTCCAATGTATCAGGAAGCGTAACCAATAAAGGCTTCTTCACAGAAATGAATAATACGAAAAGAAAGCGAATAATGCGAATAATTCAAGCGTGACACGTATGAATGAACGTATAACATAATATACGTTTAAGAAAACAGCTATGTTGTTTGAGTAGACTAGATGAGTTATTATGTGAATATGTGGTGATTACGCACATGTATGTGTAGTATACTCACTCTGCTACAAATCTACGAGTTTACATGCGATTATATTATGAATAATACGAGTATGATGAGATGGCCTAAAACAAAAAAAGCTTTTTTGTTTTGTTTTGTTTTTTTCTATTTGTTTTTCTTTTTGTTCATTTCTTTATATTGGCGCACGCGAGGAATAGCCCCTTGCCCCTTTTTTCGAAAGGTTATTTATCATTAATTCAACATCGAAAACACCTAGCAAAGCTAAAAAAACTACGTGCCGGCTCCCTGCGTTAAGACGGGGCCATGGAGGCTCTCCAGCTACCTGCGGTCCCGATCTTCTCCAATCCATTTGCGGTATTCCTCGGACGAAGGACGGCGGGAGATGCGCAAGACATAGTTGCCCCAGGGTGGCAACTGCGCATGACGTGGGACGACGGGCCAAGCTTAGGCAAGGACGAGCCTCAGGCTCGTGGGTAAGAGGTGAGGAAGGAGGACGACGGCTGCGATGAACGGGCGGACGACAGCAAACTCCATTGCGTAATGAACAGCCCAAAGGTCACTGCACGTGGGCCCAAAATGGGGAGTTGCGTCGAATAGGCAGCGAAGAGACAGCTGCGCGGTGAGACCCCAGCGTGGCCTGCGAAGACGGTCCTTTAAGGATTGCAGTTGTCGACAATTGCGCGTGTGATGTTGCGCAACGAACGTAAATGCCGACGTAATGAGTGCAGGAGTCACGACAGTCGTGGCGGTTCCAATAGGGACGGAATGAATCTGTTCGCGGCATTTGCCTTCTGGCTATCCCTCGCCTCCGTCCTAATTAGACTCCGCGACCATGGGAATCACCTGAGGCCGTAGACATTTCCAAATCAAATTGTGCTTTTTCAATTAGTGGGGACGCTTCCAGAATTAAACCGGATATTTTTCGAACAACACCGGACATTTTCAATCAAGGCGCATGATTTCATTTCAAGCTTGCCGTTTTCCAGAACAAATACTGTTCCCAACGGTTAGTTCGTTTCAATCATTTAATCAGAGATTACAATTATCATCAGATATTTTGTTATGAAATAAAAGCGAGCTTTTTGCATGAAAACTTTATAGAAGAAGAGATAGCATCCATGAGCACATTCAGTTATTAAGAATCTCCCCTGCAGCCGTGATCTTCAAGGTCTTCCAGGATTCTTCAGAGCCCTCCTGTTTCATGGGTTCTGGTACTATTCGTGGTCACCCCCATTTCAATGAGTTTCCTTTCTACCAGGTGTATGATCTGCGGCGGAAGACGTTACAAGCGGGGTCATTTGCACCGCGTCACTTTGTACGTAGCACTGCAGCAGCTTGTGAAATTGTCTAACTAGCTAGTACTCTTCTCGTTTGCACGCGAAATCGCGCCTCGGATGTGGTCGTCTACGGAAGACGGCATTTCGGACCACGCGACGTCGCGCGCGGCGATCTGCAAACACCGTACTTGCAATCAAGCGCACGTTCGCGATAAGCTAATCGCATTATTGAATCAGATTGTGTCCACTTGAATTTCCAGCCGTGCTTTTCACTGTGGTTAGATCTGGATTGTCACAACACTTAGATTTTGTGTCATCTGCATAACTGGAGCGATTACATTGCAAAGATGGTGCAGAGAAACCTCTAGAGATTCTGTTCGCGAGTCAGTTTAGCTTACCTGCTGATCCTTAGTCATTTGATTGTCACAATACTTTATGAATATTTTCGGAGACTGTACTTATTGCCGTTTTGCTGAGATACGACGGACTATCCTGTTGGGAAATAGCAGCGGAATGTCTTTCTCAAAGCCATTGCGAGCGCGCACCGATCAACCAAACAGTATTTGCAATTGTCGCGCGCGCTTCCGCGTGGTCCTACCGACACATACCCGATCAGCTAGTGGTCACCTCACAAAGTCCCCCACAATGTTTTTTCTTTGATTTGAAAAGGTCCGACTTTGGGAGGTTATGACTGGAACACTGTCCTGGGCAAATTGAAACATGGCTAAGTGAAGATCATGGTGCTGTCCTATTGTCAGGTCCTTTTAACAGCACAGCAAATGTTTCTGTAATATCAGTTCGAGAGGCATCAATGACCATAATTTATTGCGCAAGTTCCTCAAATCATTCCGATATATGTATGGCAGTGGAAAAGATCGCAGAAATCCGCCAACAGCAGTCGTAAACAACCAAACGCTTATAATGTAGCGCCTAGTAGGTTGGAAAGAAAGTTCCGCCACACTTCGATTGAATTGTTCTAGAAGATTATCAAAAAAACGTTTTAAATGCTCCCAGCCCTGACTAGTGGGGAGGGTTGCGGGGGCCAGTGTTGCTCCGAGTTTTTGGCAGGGTGGTTATAATGAGGCTTGGTGGCACAGCTTGAAAAGCTACCCAGAAGAGTCAATGTGGAAAACAATAATTAACAAGAATCAATCAAGAATTTATTGGTTTGTAGAAGCATCCGCCTTATAGTCGAGATAGTTAACACCTGCGCGGGGATTAAGCTGTCTTCAAAAAGGATGCCATGGCAGGGTGTTCCCTTTGTATCAGCGCTTGCAAGCAGGAATTATTTTATTCGAAGGTAGGCAGCGTAGACGTCGACCACCAACCTAAAATGACGGCCGTTTACTCAAGCTTCTGAAGACGCAGCTGAACCTGACCAATAGTAAGTTGGCAAGCCCTCCAGGCTCCGTCTAAGTGAGAACTGCCATGCTTCTCGGCAATACCGATTATGGGGAAAATTTTTTTTGTGAAGGATGCCTCATGAGATCTGGACCAATTCTTTTTTGTTGTTTTATGGACCAAAGCCGCCCCGAAGGTCTTGACTGCATTTTCTTTTCCTTGTACCCACTGGAAGATTTTTGTGAGATCTCGTGCTTGGTAGGCAGTTTTGGAGGCCTTGCGTGAACTTGCGCAGATCTCTCGCAGGAGCTGTCAAGGAGAAGAGTAGATTGCTTACCAAAAGCAGATGTGCATGGAGTAAAGATTTCGCTATGTTATTGGTGGGACTTCAGAGCGATGTCTTTGGGTACTGGCACAGCAATGTCGATCACAGTTTACACTAAACAACATCCTAACATGGGTGACGTCACGCTTGAACTGATTCAGAAATGCTCAATTTTTCTCTACTACTCGGCAATGCGAAGACCGCATGTGGGGATCAGGCTACGCCAAAAGATCATGGATCGATCAGAGAATGCGACCGTACCCAGCTTATTTAACAAAGTTAGCAGCCTCTAATTACTGCCTCCTTTGATCCCTACCGCATCCTTTAGAAAGCAAAAATTCCGAAGATGTAGTCGAGAATGAGCTCCAAGTCTTCTTTTCAATGTCGATACCGTAGTTCTATAAGAGGGAAATAAGAAGCTAGGCAAAAGGTGGGCACTAGTTCGAGTCATCAATGGTGATTACCTTGTAGATCGGAGGTGCCTTTTAATGAAGGGGAATTTGGTTCGAAAATTAGGTCAAAGCTTCGCAGGACTTACTTTCCGAACTGATAAAATCTCAATAAGTTTATAACATCTCAGAAATCCTTTTCATCTCACTGTCTCCCCGTAAATCGAAACTATTGATTTTATTTATACTTCCTTATCGTTGTTTTTGTTGTTATTTTATTTTCCAAAGACATTTTATTTAGAATGTCATTCCGTACATTCTTTTAGTAATACGGCAGTTGTATATACTCCATATCGCGACTATGGGAAGAGCGTCTCGCGTACGTCATTGGTGCAAGCCAGGCGGCGGCAGCGCTTTTGGTGGTGTATAGCCGTTTTGGGACAATTGGAACAATGCTTTGTCCAGCACAAGGCAGGATGCCTGTTGTTTGTACGGAAACTCGTTCGATTACGCAAAATGAATCGTACGTCATTATCTAATGAAAAATGCGGCCACGCCCACTCTAGCTGTGGGACGTGGAGTATGTGTAGAGTCGACCAGAGCGCTCTGAGGAGCCTCTGTTGTCATTTAAGCTCCTCCAACGACGCAAAACTCTGAGCCGCAATTGAAGAATGCTGGAAGTTGCTTATCCAAGTGATGCGATGACAGAATGCAGAACTTTATTGGAATTAGGTGGAATGTTTTGGCCTCGACTCCCTGTACATAGGGACATATAACATGCAGGAGGGAATATAATCCCCTCTCCAGTAGGGCTATTCCAACACAAATACGGTGGATAGCGTGAGACAAATGTTTTTTTTGAAGAACCTAATCATCCAACAATATTTAGTTATATACATACTTCTCTTCTTGACTTCTCATTCTAGGCATTGCATGCATCTCCCACTTGGTGCTCAGTTGTTTGAAGTAGGCATCTGATGCCCCTCGATGATCATTTGTGGCGCGATCTCCATGAATCATTCCGATTTTTGTGTCGAACGGTAGAAGACATTGCAAACAAAATCCGCCAACAGCAACCGTGAACACCCAAACGATAACAGTGTGCCACCTTAATATATGTTCTTGCATCTGTTAGCCTTGAATAGGAAAAAAGGCCCGCAACATCACACTCACATTGCAACGAAGACGTTCATGAGCACATGACACATTTGACTCCACTGTGAATAATGAGATAATGTATTTATAGCTAGCATGAAAGATACGCACGCGATCAGCGTACATATTGCCCACATTATGGACAATTGCATCAGTATCTCAAATGTGGTGTATAATGGGAAATATCACCGTAGATTTCCAAGGATTGCGACACGAGCGCACTCGCCGTATTTTTTCGCATCCGCGAAACAGCCCTTGTCAGAACCGCAATACCGTTAGGCTCGCTGCACGAATGAACCCCGTACTACTCATCACTTTGTAAATGGGAGGACCCATTGGGTACTCACCAGCGGTAATCGTTGGCTCCTATACAAGAGATGAGTAGTAGGGGTATCATTTCCATTGGGTAGCTCACCAGCGGTTTTACGTCAAGTTTATGAAAAGAATACAGCGCTTACCTTCATAACTCTTGAGATGTTCCTTTCAGCCGGAACTTGTGTCACTTAGAGTATATCTCGAAATTTTACTAGATCGTGACGGTACAATGTTACGTACGCGATGGAATAGCCGATACATAATGCTACCCCAGACCACACTCGAACTGATACTTCAAAATATCCTGAAGCAAAGTAGTATGTCGTCACTGGAAAAGGATGTTAAGAAATACACTTCTGTTCATGTAGGCTAACTGTTGGGCATTCAAATAAATTGAGGCTCTAGCGGTATATCTGTATAATTTACATGCCGATCCTCAGTGAAATAAATTTACCTAGCATGTCGAAGAAAGCAATAATTGCTGATATGATATATAAGAACGAAATAATCATCCTGTATATCATCGGTCTCGGAAACTTCTCGTAGTCGGTGACGTATTTTGAGGCAAAAACTCTTTCAATTATAGCTGATGGCAAGTATAATGCCACAACATTTATGCTCCATATACGCACAAAACAAGCCAGTACTAAGACAATGGAATGTATTGAATCTACAAAGGTAGAAATAGACTTTGATCTCAAGACAACATAATTCAAAACGCTCCATGAACCCATTTGATCTGTTCAAGAGTGTGCGCTCAAAAAATAAAAAAAAACTGAACATAAACACGATTCTCTTGTTGTCTGCTCCCTACGCGGAGTAAGGGTGCCATTTTTGGTCAACGCAGAACATTAAATTGTTGCAACGGATCTATCAAAAGAGCGAAGATTTGTATAATATTACCTTCAGGAGTCAAAACGTTTACTTCATAGAGGAAACAGCACGGCACGTGCTGCCAAACCAGGATAATAGCTAATGAATAGAGCCTGCAAAACTAGTTTTTAGACTTACTGCGCGAATACTAATCGTTTGTGGTGGTAAATGAATATAAATTTTTACAATCCAATTGACTTTTCAGCGGTGAAGAGTGTAAGGCCAAAATCAAAATATTCTGTGAGTTGCAAAAAACTTTTCAAGATTTTTAAGTCTTTTTAACATTCTATGTGGGTGTCGAACAATAGTATAACGGTAAGGCTTTGAAACAGTAGCATACTTTACACGTCTATAATCGTCGTTATAATTTCAAAACTCACTTGGGAAATGCGCACAAGGTTCATATGGAATAAAGATGTTTTGTCAAGAATAATTATCAAACGCGGTATATACAAGGAGGTCATAATGTTGACTAAAAATTCAACGCTGTATAGAGGCCAAATGCCAAGATCAGACAGTCGAGCCGGTTCCGGTCTCACGATGGTTAGCAAAATATCCCATTTTCCAATAGCTATGATAAGCATTGAAATATCTCTGAATCGTATTACAATCAGGTTAAAGAGGAAGCCTCACATTTTTGCAAATGTTCGTCTCTACATAGTCTTTACCAGGATCCAATACGGAGCGCCTCTGCGACCGTATTGGATCCTGGTAAAGACTGGTGCGTGTTCCCGTGTCTATTCTTACAAATGTACAGGGGGAGGGGGCCAAAAAGTCACTTTTCTTCCTTGACTATGGCCCTATAAGTTACACTTTATCAAATTCTGATCGGACATTTCTACCACCATATTAAAGAGCATATTAAATACTATCATGACACTCCGCCACAGCCTTCTGGACGAGCGCCATCGAGAGATTCTGGCACGCGACCGCGATGTGGTGCCTGAGATCAGCGAGATAGTCGATTTCTCCGCCACCGTAGACCCTCCGCCTAAACCGGGTGAATGAGGGGATTCAGGTCAGGTGACCTACTTGGATATTCCATCTTCAGGTACTCAGCCCCCCCCCCCTCCATTCCAAGTAGGCGAGAGTTTCTCCAACGCCCTTCGATTCCATGTGGTGGCACCCAATGCTGTAGCAGTAAAGTTTCCAAGAAGGTACGGGCGACGACATGTGGGAGGATATTCTTCTCGAGTTGCTCGATGTAACCGCCAGCGCTCACCTTCAGTCCGGGGTCCACGAAGAAAATATCGGTCTTTCCATTCCAGGTACGTCCGGTCCATACCATCAACCCGCGCCTTGGCGACTGCGGTGAAGATGATGTCCTAGACCGTAGCGACGTTGTCGGAGCTGCTCGATGTTGGAGGTCTTCCAGATCGAGAGTACTGGTCTCCAGGTAGCTATCCATGGGTGACTCCATACTAGAAGTTTCGCAGCTGTTTGGAGGTGACATGAATTCCAAAGGTCTTCAGGCTGCGACTGGAGATGACTTCATATTTTGGTGTACATGAAGGTGATGGGCGAGAGCCAGCTCCTGCTTATCGAGGAACATCTTGGGTATCTTCCGCCCTGGTACTCGTATCCACGTCCTCTGTCTGGGCTGCGAAAACTTTGCTGATATGTGACTCGGTCGAAGTGACTTTTTTTGCCCCCCCCCCTCTGTATTCCTGCCTCTTTTTGAGCCTTCGCCGCTCCCTCAACCACGCCCCTTTCTGCCCTAAAATATGGACTATGTTCACTGTTATATGGATTACTCTGAGTACTGAAAGAATGACATTTTCTCAATCGCACACGCTTACTATCAATTCGAAACTCTTCGTAGAATATTCAGTGGTACTAGTGGTACTGTTGCCACCCACTGTTTACCCAGCTACCCATCGTTTGTACATTGGTTTGTATATTGGTACTCGCATAAATTTGAATTTACCGAGGTCAGCGATTGCTCCCAAAAATGAAGGCAGATTCAGTGGTGCTGACAGAGCAAAACCAAATAGACTACAGAGAAAAAAGACCAAATTGCGAGTTCAAGTCAGTTATTTGTTCTGTAAGATTGCGTTCCAGGAAACGCTCACATCTATCACCAAAGGTACACTGTCGATAGTGCCTGGATAACTGGATTCTTAAGAAGTGAAAGGTACGTTCTGATTCCTTCTCCATTTATGATTTTCAAGCGTTTTTATTTCCTCCATCGCTACTCATTTAATCGTTGAAGGCAATAATACAGTAATTTGTTTGTGCATCTAGGGCAGCACTTTTATTGGAAGGGGGAAATGAGCTGAGGATGCGTGTCTATTCGCATCAGACGAGGCCTTAATAATTAGACCCAACAAACATGTTCGAATGCGATACCTTTCTCCGCCTCCGAGTGATTGTTGGTTTTAATGCTTTATGCGCCTGCGCTTTAGCCCTGTTGGATAGGGGATTGAGCCGGTGTATGCGATTGACCGCTTCCTTGAACTTTTTTGGCGTCGACGTGCCTTAAAAACGAAAATTCAGGACCAAAGAAGCACAAGACTCAAATACTGGTGAATGGTGAG